AGGAAGGTTCAGACAGTGTTGAACAGGGTTGCCAGACTCATTTTTGCTCTCCCACTACTAAATCCTCTGACTATATATTTCAAAATGATATTGCATAGTACAGTAGTGATGAACCTAGAGCAGTACTGTACTGGAATATTCTTTTGCTGCCTGATCCATTTTCCTTACAACACCCAGATTGTTCAGTCAGTTGCCTGCATCCATGAAGTAGCTGACTCTTGTGAAGGCCTTTAAGGAACAACTTTAGACTTTTTTTTAAGCTTATGATCCTGAAGAGAGTACTGTACAGTGATGGAGAATTACAGGGTTTAGGAAGTGTTACAACTTAAGGTGCTTTTGAGAAACAAAAAATCAGCCATTATTATTATTACCTGTATTATTATTACCTGTATTATTATTATTATTATTATTATTATTATTATCATTATCATTATTAATATTATGATTATTATAATTATTATTAAAGAGATAACGATTATGATAATGGTGGTGTAATAATTGTGTAAATACTGTGCAGTAGTGATAAAGACGCTCACTTGCAGAAGAGAACCAGCATGTATGTGTAAGTGAAGGGAGGGTAGACAGCATGAACTAGACATTTAGTTACAGGAGAATACATAAACCACAATTACTGTACAGTAGCATGAGGTTACAGCATTGAACATGAAGATACCCATAAATATGCATGGTAAAAAAACTAGTACAGAGAAGCTGAATTAAGAATATGATTGTTGACTGTGTGATTATTGGTTGGTAATATTTGCTTATAATGTTGTTAGTGGGGTTATGGATGTAAGGTGAGGCTGTACAATAGGATGATTGTGTAAAACAGAATTTTATATCAAAGATGTAGCATGAGAAACTGGATAGCCTTATCATTGCTAAGAAAATATGTTAAATGACAGCACCTAAACATGGGTATATGGCTGTGTAATGATAAGACTTACCAAGGCAGGGATGGTTTGGTGAACAGTATTGTGTAACAAATCTGTGGGAATGTGCCCAGTCATGATGTATGTTACTTAGGAGAGTTGTGTTAAATGATGATATGTGTAGCTAAACAATATTTTTTTTCTGCCTTTCCACAGCCACACTGACCGTTGAGGAAGTGTATCAGGATCGTGACCAGTTTGCTCAGCTTGTACGAGAAGTTGCTGGCATGGACGTTGGCAGAATGGGCATTGAGATCTTATCCTTCACCATTAAGGTATTTATTTATTTTTTTTTATCTAGAACTTTCTGTGACCTAGTGTGGTCATACTGTAATTGTTGTTATGACATATCATCTTGAGATTTAGTTCCATGAAAAGACAAGTAAGAGCTAGAGATAAAACCACTGTACTGATTAATAATTATAAGCATTATTTTGAATACATTGCTCATCTTTTATACTTGTGACCCATTAAAGAATTTTAATGGTGCTCTCATTGTTCTAATTCAATTAAAATGAATGATTACTGTTCTTGTTCAGAGACATATTCTGTTATATAAGTGTGGATTATTGATATTGGTATAATTAATGATTCTAACGGGCAACTTTATTCCAATTCATAATAAACTTTGAACTTTTGATAGGTAAAAATAAATACAAGTTTACTGTACTGTACTGAAATAAATGTAAGGAACTAGAATTAGCCAATCAGACATGTAGAAGACTAAAGTGATGTGGTTGCGTACCGTACATAGTTGCATTATACTGTACAATTTTGTGTTATCCAGGATGTGTATGACCGTGTGGAGTACCTCTCGTCCCTGGGCAAGTCTCAGACGGCAGCAGTGAAGAGAGATGCAGACATTGGTGTGGCTCAGGCCAACAGGGATGCTGGTATTAAGGTATGCTTCCCTGATCTCTGAATTGTAGGTGGAAGTTTTACTCTATTTCATAATGATATTCTCACTCCATTCCAAACAACAGAACCAGTGCAGATGCATTGAACCTTGTAAGAAAAATTTGAAAAAAAAAACATAAGGTAATATAAATAAGTTTATCCTTTTTTCAAGGGATGTATTCTTTCATTGCTTTAAAAGAATTCTTAATTAACAGTTGAAATGTGTAGAAAACATTTTTTAATGTGCACTTGGTTAATTCAGTGACCCCAACATTTAGTTATAACAAGAAATTATTGATTTTGGATAAATTTAAAATTAAAATTGTGCTTCATTTGTATTAATGTGTTACATACAGAATAAGTCTTGGATTATTGACAATTTACCTCATGATACAACATTTATCTGTGTCTGTCTGGTGGGGAGTTTCTTTCAACTGTTCACTCTACATATTCAATACTCTACCTTTATAATAATTATAAACATACTGTACTTACCCTTGAATGTTTATTATGCTCTCAGGAAGCTGAGTCAGAAAAAACAGCAATGGATGTGAAGTACAACACAGACACAAAAATTGAAGACAACGCCAGAATGTACAAACTGCAGAAGGCCCAGTTTGACCGAGAGATTAACACTGCAGTAAGTATTGTAACATGATCCATGTATGGCAAATGAGTGTATGAAGGTCACTTTGCCAATGGATGGGTAAAAAAAAAATATTGGTCTTGTTATTTCCATCTTAAACATGTTGGTAGGATGTGTTAATGTATTAACTTGATGTGGGGGAAAATCCATAGCACACCAAAGTAATTAACAGTTGGGCTGGAAATCAACATTTAAGAGACACTGTGAGGAAAGTGTCAACTTCTTGTGGCATGAATAAGAATAATATTGACTGTTAACATTTACAGTATCTTGCTAGTTTACTTCATAGTTGTTCACGAAGTTTCTAACTACAGTATACTCAGGGGGATTCTGCACACACTTTATGATGCCTTTATCGAGGTTTTGGTGCATGAAAACCTTGCAGGCACAGAGGAGGTCTTTACCCTTCAGTTGTGTGTTACAGAAAAGATCAAAACACTGCGTCTGTACTGTCCACAAGAGCTGTCAAAGCTGTGGGTATTACATTGTACTTGGATTTGTATAATTACTGTAGTGTAGTATATCATAACATCAATGACAACTTATTTTTATTTACCAGACAGTTCATGGTTTTATTGTTTATATAAATTTTCCAGTGTATATTCAATAGTCATTGTATAATCATATCAAAGTCCTCCTGTACGTATATTCACTCATATGATGTAGATTACAAATAATTTTTATTTATTTTTTATATAATTCTTGTAATTAATCTGATATTATAACTTACTGTGGAATGAGATATATTTAATGCCAAATCTTTCAGAAAGCAGAAGCCCAACTGGCTTACGAACTTCAAGCAGCGAAAACACGACAGAAAATCCGAAACGAGGAAATTGCAATTGAAATTGTGGAAAGGAGAAAGCAAATTGAGGTAATTTTATTGTGTTAGAAATATAGATTTATACTGTGCTGTACCTGTCTGCCTTATAACTGTTCAAGATACTCTCATGTCCCACTGTAAAAAGGAGGTATAGTGGATGAATTGAACATCCTGCCCATCCACACCTTCACAACACAACAGATACAGTACTGTATATGCAGGGGGTTCTCGTTATAGGTGGTTAATAGGGACCAGAAAAAAGCCACTTACAGGGTATAATGAAACCACTTATAAAGGTGAATTAATTCCCATAAGAATTAATAGAAATAGGGTCTAATCAGGACCATCACATTGTAAGTGACACTGATAAAGTTTAATATGATATCTTTTATTATTTATATATATCTAAGAAACATTGGTTAAGCATTTAATTGCACATTATTTTATGAAATTATTTAACTTTCTAGCTTATTTATGGTACTTAAAGTTGTTTAGGGTTGATATATTGATGGGGTGTAAGCTACCAAACCATATGGCCGCGCTACCTGACCATGCACTCGCACGCTCATTTCAGTGAAAGTGATTCATTGAGATACGCTCATCACTTTTCTTACGACATGTAACTTCTAATTTCATGTCCATCCTATAGCTGCTACTCTACCTTTTAGCCACTACACGACTTTACTTCGGCTTGTAACTCATGGCTACAAAAATTGTCCACCAATGTCACCAAAATCACAACTGAGTTGATAATTACAGTTCTTGGAGCACTTCAAAATAATGCCTGTGGACACAGGTGACTAGTACTGAGCATGCATAACATGGATGAGAAGGGTGAACTTGAATAGAATGAGGGTGGGCGGGAATTTCAATCGCTAAAACGCTTGTGCTGCCGATGGTCAACAGATTTCGGCCTTAGAATCCTCTTAATTCTGGGGTCTTTTTACGTGTAGTTCACAATTATGTGATCACTTAAGTGTGAAACCATTTATAATGCGGACCCCCTGTACAAAGGTGTAAATCTGATTAACTTCTGAAGGTCAAGGTAAAAAATAAATTATACCAAAAATCTTGATGTCTTCCTTGTTTAAACATATCTTGAGACTTAACAAATGTATCGTGACCAAACTTGCACAACAGTTATTCCATAGAAAATTTTGCACCTGATTAACCATATTAAAATGTCAGTGACACTTAAAATGATGTGTTCAAGATTTCTCAAGATGGGATGAGTGGATATTAACCACACTTCAACAATAGGTTCTGCATAAAGTGGTTTACTCCTTATTAACTTATAAAGGTCTTGGAACAAATGGCTGTATTGAAAGGTCATTGATGTTTAAAATGTCTGCAGTCTGCAGGTGCCATATCTTAAGATGGAATACTGTATACTTGTATGTTGACCAGACTTACACAACTGGTACAACTTTGCATAAAATTTTCTAAATCTCATACACCATTTGAGGTTGTGGGTAAATGATCAGTGTACTGTATAATGGCCATTAGGACAAAAACTCTTACTGACAATTTGTTGTGTGTTTGATAATAGAGTTAGCTAAAAGAAGTTATATAAAGATGACTGATATTTGTAGGCATCAGTGTTCTTATTATTATCTTAGTGGATTGGTAGTACAGGTATTTAATCATTCTGTATTCTATCTATCCCCATATATAGATTGAAGAGCAGGAAATCAAACGCAAGGAAAAGGAGTTGATGGCCACTGTGCGTCTCCCTGCTGAGGCTGAGAGTTACCGTGTGGAAACTATTGCTCAAGGTAGACGTACTCAGGTAAGTTGAGAGTTATTATATATATATTTTTTTAACAGGGATTAGGTCACCCTGGCACAGGTCAGTGACCCACATCAGGGCCAGGGGGGCAGAAAGTCAGATCAGCAACCTGGGACTTGGTCAAAATTTTTGTGATGCCATTTGGCAGCAGGGTCTACCAATATTTTTCCAGGCTGTAGTACCTCCCTGTTTGATAGCTGCAGGCACAAGGCTGATATATAGTACAGTACAGTACAGTACAGTACAGTGCAGTGCAGTACAGTACAGTAAAGCCTCGAATAACGACGGTAATGTGCCCTCCAATATGCAGTGTAAGGTGAGTCATCGTATCGTGAATCGTTAATTATCATTAAAATAAAGCAATAATAATGAGATGCGTTCCCAAGTGTGACCTTTTCATATCTTTTGTGGAACTTTTTACCTTCTTTTCCCCACTAAACAATACAATGAGTGAACATTGAAAACTATATCCTTTAAATAATGTTTCTGAATGCACCTTATACAATATAAATTAATAAAAGTATGGTCACACAAGAGGAGATGGGATGCCATTATTTTCGTTTGTGTTTATAGCCGGAAGTCCGGGACGATAGTTCTACACGAGAAAATTAAGAAAATAAAGACCCTGGTTGTAGCTGTAGTGAAATTAATGTAAAAAAAAATGAAAATAAATTTGTTTTAAGTAATGTTAATAAATGGAACAATAGAGGTAGCTAACCACTTATGGTAAAGAAAAAAAAGTGAGATGGATTGGGAACGCCAACATATACGTGCTCATTTAAGGATACCGCGTCATTTATCTTTTTAAGAATATGTTCAAAAGATTCGTTATTGTTTATTATTTGATTGGATTAATCTTTATATGTGCGAAATGAACAATACAATTCATTAATAATACAGTGGTCCCTTGGTTAAAGAGTACAATTCGTTCCAGAAGGTTGCTCGTTAACCAAAACATTCGTTAACCGAAACCATTGTTTCAATGGGTTTTTGGGTAATTGGTTCCAGCTCACCGAAAATTACAGTGGTCCCTCGGTTAACGAGCACAATCCGTTCCAGCAGGTTGCTCGTTAACCGAAAAACTCGTTAACCGAAACCATTGTTTCAATGGGTTTTTGGGTAATTGGTTCCAGCCCACCGAAAATTGCCTAAATTCAACAAAAAAGGTAGAAAAGTACACTTACTTTGAGGTGTGTATGTAGAAGGCTCCTGGATGATGATGATGATGATGATGGGAATTAGAATGGGGGTGGAGGAGAAGGGAGAAGAGAAGGCTTTGGGGTGGAAGAGAAGTCACCCCATGGCACCATTTCACCCATAAAATTTTAGTTCTCTTGGTGTAATTCAAGATTATTTTCTTTAAATCAACACTGCACTGCATTATATATTGTCAATATGTAAAATAAATTTCAAAATGACCAATAATTTGCTTGGAAACACAGAAAAAAGCATTTAGTTGAAGAGAGTCTCAAGCAAAATGTTACCTCCACTGAAAACAGAGAGAGACTAACGCCTGTCTGGTGTGTTAACAGGCTGGATGGCACGCCAGAAACTAGTTTCTTTACCTTCAATTATGTTCAATAATTGTTAAAATGACTAAAAAAGTTAATATTAAACTTTTAAAATTATTGAATAGTATAAACTTCTTGATACAGGTTGACAACCCTTTATCCGAAATTCCGAAAACTGAAAAGCTCTGAAAATTGAAAGTTTTTTGTGAAGCAATTTTTTTTTTTTTTTTAAACAGGGATTAGCCCACCCAGGCATAGACCACTGACCCACATCGGAGCCTGGGGGGCAAAAATGTAATGGTAATACTAATTATAATAATAATTATTCATAGTAAATAAAATTTTAAATTAAAAATACACCAAAATAAAATAATAATAACAATAATAATAATAATAATAAAATACAAGAATGAAAAAAGATAAAAGGTGAAAAACATGACCTAAACCTATGAATTATTATTATTATTATTATTATTATTATTATTATTATTATTATTATTATTATTATTATTATTATTATTATTATAATTGTTATTATATTTTCGACCCCCAAGCCCCAATGTGGGTCAGTGACTTGTGCCCGGGTGGGCTAATACACATAAAAAAAAAGAAAAAAACTAACCATTCTGAAAACCGAAAAATTCCGAAATACCTCTGGCCCCAAGGATTTCGGATAAGGGATTGTCAACCAGTATTTACTAAAATAGTAAGGAATTTAAGCTCTAAAACCAATAACTGTATTGGCGGACTAATACTACAGCTGGTGGACCGCCAAATGCAAGCGAAAACATGTTGAAGTCGGCTCGTAAAAAACTCGTTAATCGAGGGATTGCTCGTTAACCGAAGTTAAGAATCTTATGGAAGGTAAATCGTTTACCGAAATCTCATTAACCGAGGCGCTCGTTAACCGAGGGATCACTGTACATACAAACTAAAAATAAATGCAATAAAGTACACTTACTTTGAGGTGTGCATGTAGAAGGCTCCTGGTTGATGATGATGATGATGATGGGAATTAAAATGGGTGTGGAGGAAAAGGGAGAAGAGAAGGCATTGGGGTGGAAGAGAAGTCACCCCATGCTGCCATTTCACCCATAAAATTTAAGTTCACTTGGTGTAATTCAAGAATATTTTCTTTAAATTAACACTGCACTGCGCTATATATCATCAATATGTAAAATATATTTCAAAATTACCAATAATTTGACTGGAAACACAGAAAAAAGCGTTTATGTTGAAGAGAGTCTGAAGCAAGATGTTACCTCCACTGAAAAGACACAGAGACTGACGCCTGTATGGTGTGTTGACAGGCTGTTTGGCGTGCTAAAAACTAGTTTCCCTGTACTTAAAGTATGTTAAATAATTGTTAAAATGACTAAAAATTTTAATATAAGACTTAAAATTATTGAATAGTACAAACTTCTTGATATTTACTATAATAGTAAGGAATTTAAGCCCTAGAACCGATTACTGTATTGGCGGACTAATACTACAGCTCGTGTGCAAGCGAAAACATGTTGAGGGGCGCTCGTAAGGAATTCGTTAATCGAGGGAATGCTAGTTAACCGAAGTTAAGAATCTTATGGAAGGTAATTCGTTAACCGAAATTTCGTTAACCGAAGGATCACTGTATGTAGAATATTAAAACACGCAAGGAGACAAGACGGCATTGTTTTCGTGAGTGACAATGGTTCTACATAAGAAACTGAAGAAAATAAGACCCTGGTTGTAGCCGAGGTGAACTTAATGTAAAAAATTTAATTCCTGTATGTATGTTTAAAGTAATGTTATTTAATGTTAATAAATGGAACACTAGAAGTAGCTAACCACTAATGGTAAAGAAATAAAGCGAGACGATTGGGAACGCCAACGTATGAACAGTAAGTGTGTAAATGAAAACATATCGTCATTTCTCTATATATGAATATGACAGCAACACTTATTTACCGTTCATATATGTTTTAAATAATATTTATGAATGTAAAACAAAAATTATACTTACCAATGGTGGTAACGTCTGAAACATAAGGACAGCCAATGAATATTGTCCGAGTTTTTACTCAGATGATGCAGTCATCAGGTTCAACTCTGGCTGAAGCTGTAGCTTTCTATAAAGCTGTTGCTGAAACTGTTACTGAACCTGAAGATGTTGTTGAAGCTGCTTGTGATGCTGAATTTGATGGTGTAGCTGAAGTTGATGGTTTAGGCCTTCGAATAATAAAGCAGTCTAAAGAACCTTGCACAGCTGCTTTCTTTTCTCATTATACATATTTATGAAGAGGTCATTTGTGTTTATTTAAATTTTAATGCTTTGTTCTGTTAATGCATCCACTTCAGAAAATGTTCATTGCTTGCTCTATATAATATCGACAGACCTCTCACTTTTTTCATATCATTTTACACATCTAGTTTCTCGGCTAAGCTTCTACACTTTCTATTAGCTTTTGAAACAACACTACCATCATTTGCTCTCTTGCTTATGTTGAATAGGGATGGAAAAATACTGTGCAAAACTTGAGAGTTTTTCACCTTTTCCTGTTCAGATGCGTGAAAACAAAGGGTCTGCCAGCTGCGATTGTTTATACTAGTGATGCTGGCGTCACCACTAACAATTCCCGGCAGCCTCCGTGCTCAAGGCGTGTTTTGTTTTTTTTAATATCAGGATTTAGTTATTTTTTATACGAAAATGTAATGTATATTTTTTTATTTCATTGTAAATACGAAGAAAATAATGGCGTAAATTGAATTGGGTCCTAAATTAACCAGGGTCTTAAATGTGAATCTTCGTTAGTTGAACCGTCGTTATCAGAGGCTTCACTGTATACTCTCGATTTAACGGAATCCAATATAATGAACTCACGATTTAGCAGAAGAAATTTTTTCCGTTATTTTTCACTCCATTTAGTGAATTAGTTTGCTAAATCGAGATTAATTCCGTTAATACGCTCACACCTACGGAGACACCTCAGACACATGATATGCACATAGAAACTTTGTTCGTGGCTTATCTTAAACTAGGGGGTTCAGTGTTAGTTTTCAATTTTTTTCTATAATTTCCAAACTTTTTCCAATTGCTGGGTGCCCTCATTTGACTTTTCTCCCCCACACCACTTCCTCTCTGAGATTAATGAGAGACTTTCGACATGATGACTAAGCACAGTAGTTACCAAGATGTAGACAGAGAGGTAGCAGTGAACAACACACTCAGTGGCGGCAAGACACAGACCAGAGCGGATGTAAACAAGTCCCTCACGCATTTGGAGTGGAAAATAACAGAATCACACTCGATTTAGCGAACTAGTTTGCTAAATTGAGCGAAAATAACGAAAATTTTATTTAGGGGAAATTTCAATTTAACGGAAAGGGGTGGCTCGAATTAGTTTGTTAAAATGAGAAAATACTGTACAGTACAGTTGAGTCTTCATTTACGCGGTCAATTGAACCTGCGGAGTACCGTGTAAAACGAGAAACGCGTAAATGAAATGACAGAACATATGGGATTACTGTAATTGAAATAGAGACTGGGCCGACCCCCAAACTCCACTTTTTCTGACACAATACCTACGTTGTGGTAAAAATAACATCTTAATTTTATGATGGTATGTGCACACAATTAATATTTAAGAGAAATAGTCACTGGTTAATGTCCATTCAAATAATGGACTCAACTCCCCCCTTCTTCCCACGCTTGCTGGCTCCTCCCTCTCTGAGAAATGTTTGGGTGAAAACAGAAGGCTTACATTTTTTGTAATAGATAATACCTCAGACTAAAGTTAGGATAATACAATTGACATTGCTGGATTCCTTGCAAGACCAGGAATATTTTGAATATAAACATCACATATTTTGCACAAAAGATAAAATTTTGGCTCTTTCTAATCAAAATTCTTACATTAGATCTAAAATTTGTATGTCTAATGTAAATTCCATGATATTTATATTTAAAATAATCACAATCTTATAAGAATTCCAGCAATGTAAATTATATTCTGGCCGGGTAATTTGTATGAATTTTATGAGCTAAAACAAATATCTTCAGTAAATAAACAAATTATACTTCACCCGAGGAAATGACCAAATTTACCGCGTAATTAAAGTTTTTCATTCTGGCAAGGCACCGCGTAAATGATCAAACGCATAAACAAAAACCGTGTAAATCCAGACTCAGCTGTACTCAGATAAGTCATCTTTTGATCATATTACCATAATCTTTATGAAGGTGAAACACTTCTCAATTTGTTTCAGTGCACAAAACATTCAAAGTTTGTTACTGGTATTTTACAGGTACTCCTCGACTTGCGACCACCCGGACATACGGCCATCGTAGTTGTATAAAATATTTTTCAAATTACGTATTTTCAAGTCCCGACGTTAGTGATCGCGTGATCGCGCTGTGTACTGACAAAATTTTTGTTTGAAATTCCCTTTAAAATGGCTGGCAAGCGTAAAAGTGAGAGTTCTTGTGGTGCTGAGAATAAAAAGAGACACCCATTTTAGATTTTCTATTTATTATTTTCGCATTTTCGACTTACGACCGATTTGACTAACATCCTGGTCGTTGGGTCCCAAACCCCGTCATAAATCGAGGACTGACTGTGTTCGTAAATGCACCGTAGAGCATAATTAATTATTGTTTCAGGTACAGTATTCAAAATGTTTTTGTAGTTTTTTCATTCAAGATAAAACTAATCTGTATTTGTAGTGGACAAAATGTATTTTCCATGCTGATGTAGTAAAATAGTTATCTCAACTGCAAAAGTTTGGGACCAAGAGGTTTCTATAAAAATTGATAATTATAGTCCAAGGAAAGCTTGTATGCTGTACTGACTGTACTGGTAATAAACCATAGTACTGTACAGTTCTTGTGTCAGTTTGGTTATATTATTAGTTTCTTCAAATACTTGTACACTAACTTACTTCATTATTCTCTAATACTCTTATTGTTATTAAGTCTACAAATAAGCTTTCAGTGTGTTGCCATTCTCCTACAATCACCATATAACTTCTCAAACTCCCATGAAGACAAGTAGACTCGTCAATTGCACCACCACACACACACACACTGTTACTGAGCCAGTTGCCTCAGTGTCCAATTTCTCCACATTTACTCTGATATATGTAGAAAATTCATTAAAAGAGAATTATTATTAAATTTCATGTTTTAGAATGTTCGAATCTTTTATAAAATAAGTTATTTTGTAAAGTAAATTTTGTAGTGCAGCTCTTTATTAAGCATAGTTTTTTCTGGCCTTCATGTATTCCTGTTGTTATGGAATATGTAGTGTGTTTTACACTGTTATCTTTCAGACTGTGGAGGCAGCCAGGGCTGAGGCCGAGAGGATAAAGCGCATTGGTGAGGCAGAAGCTTATAATGTTGAGGCTGTTGGTAAGGCTGAGGCAGAGGGCATGAAGATGAAGGCTCTGGCTTATAAACAGTATGGAGAGGCTGCAATTATGTCCATGGTGCTGGAGAGTTTGCCCCAGGTATGGTCCAAAATAAAATGTACAGTACAGTATTCAGTTTGACTCAAACTATAAATGGTTCCTTTCTTTGTGGAAAGTTAACCCTAACCAGAATTATTTTATTGTGGGGTCGGTCTCCTACTGTTTACTCTAAAATCTTTCAAAAGAATTGTCAGTTTAATTCTCTATTTTGCTAATTTTAAGTATTTATGATCTTGTCTTACCATTACTTACAGCATGTTCCTGGTATTATGGTTATGTAATTGTTATTCATGTAAAAAAAAAAAAATTGCCTTTCAATCGTCAAAGTAAATTTTATGTTTTCCTGTGCTTTGTTAAGTTGTGAGACATCCTTCCACCACATACCTCCTGGCAAAGCCTGCTAGTATTTAGGGAGCTTTTATTGCTTAGCAGCAGGACAAAGTATCTATACTGCCTTCTCACTCAGTCAAATACAGATTCAGTTCAGTGATATAGATGTTGTCTTAGGGACAAGTGAGGTTCTAGATTGCGAGTAAAATTGAACTATCAATCAAAACGTTCATACCGTATATCGCGGCCTATAAGGCGTCGGGGTGCATAAGACGGCCCCCCCAAATTTCCATTTAAAAAGTAGCTTTTGAGCTCTATTTGCTGTATAAGACCAGTACCCCAAATGTGACACTTACCCACTGACTCAGTAGTCCTTTACCAACCATCCTTGGTTTTTTAAAATAAGGCCAATTCACTTCAATTAATGTCATCAAATATTACCCGCTGGTGTAGTGTAAACACTAGTGACGTCACTGAAGCGTCTGCTATTTACCGGTAACTGGAACTAATGTTGGTGTCGAGTAAAATTTTTCCATTTACTTGAAATGGATTAACCGATTTATTTGTTTATTTATTTATTTATAATATACTGTAACATATTAAACACACTGCAAGTATTTTCTTTCATTTATACGCTTGCTTCGCACGAGACGATCGGTGGTGGGAGTGTTCCCTCGTCTCGGTGGTGTGACTGTGTTCCTACTATTTATACAACAGGTGGTTCAACAGCAACCACCGTATTCTAATTGTGGTGTTTCATTAGGATTTGAGTGAAAAAGGTTACCGGTATGTACTTACTACATACATTTATTACACAAACATATATATATATATATATAATATATATATATATATATATATATATATATATATATATATATATATATATATATATATATATATATATATATATATATATATATATATATATATATATATATATATATATATATATATATATATATATTTATTATATATATGTACTGAATATACTATGTACAAAAAATGAATGTTCAATGAATTATTTATGGTGCATTAGGGTACTGGCCACTTCAGACACAAAGACGGGCTATAAATAGCCTTGTTATCTACCCCTACATCTCACCCTGAGCCAGAGGGAAGCGTCTTGGTAAATAACATTTGTTTGCTTATTTTCCATTTACTTGAAATAGATTTACCGAATTATTTGTTTATTTATTTATTTATAATATACTGTAATATATTAAACACACTGTAATTATTTTCTTTAATTTATAAACTTGTTTTGCGACAAAGGAATGTTCTCCAGTAGTGTTTCATTAGGATTTGAGTGAAAAAATATTACGTACTTACTACATACATTTATTACACAAACATATTTATATATACTGTATGTATACATATATACACATGCACACATTTAATTTACTAAGTCACAATATTTTAAAAGCAAATTACCCGACAAGTTAAAAATTTTATTAGCACATGATTATTACTGACGTCATCATGTATTAAAAACCTTCAAAATCCACATCATCAACATCTGATATCATAAGTTCTTCAAGTACATCCTGAGATACATTTATGGCTGCTTCATCATAAGGATCAAACTCCAAATCAGATGACGTGGCTTCGGCTTCTGTTTCATCCTCGTCCTCCCACAACATATCATCCTCCATACCATCCATTGAATTAGATATTCCGCACTTTTTAAAAGACTTGATAACTGTTTCCACATTAATATCATTCCATGCCTTGATAACAAAATCACACAGTACATCCAGTTCGGGAGCACGCATATTCCCACTTTTCGTGTAAGACTTTTTGCCGCTGATCATCCACTTGTTCCATTGTTCACGAACGCGGTCCTTGAATGGTTTGTTTAGACAAACATCAAGTGGTTGTACAACTGAAGTTAATCCACCAGGAATAACTGCAATGTCACTGTTGTTCCTCGCCATGCTGGTTTTTGTTACCGGCTGGTGTAGTGTAAACACTAGTGACGTCACTTAAGCGTCTGTAATTAACTGTCGATAGTTTCAAGAATTAATGCACTCATTTACTGAATATTCTTTGTAAAAAAATAAATTTTAAATCAATTATTTATAGGAGATAAATATTATTATCAGTAAATATACCGATACCCGGTATGCATTACTGATCACCTCAACGGCTAAAAATAGCCCAATCTCGCGGTCACTTTCCCTTTCTTGTCTCCTCACTGGCAAATTGGGGGGGGGGGAGCTGTGTGATGATAGCAGCTGTGTTTATTACAGGGTATGTTAGAGAGGTTTATAATACATTTTTATTATTTTAATATACCGGTAATCTTAATTTGAATCCAGCTTGCCAAACGTAAGTTTCAGTATAAAATAATTACTGGTAGGACTTTGTGAGTGGCTTACGATGCTTCCATCACCACTCTTGACACAGTAAACCACAGTATTTAAGATGTAAGAATTTTAAATTTGTTGCTTAAGACGACCCCCTAACTTTGGGCAGATTTTTTTAATGTTCAAATTTCGTCTTATAAGCCGAGATATACGGTATGTCTGACATCAACCATGTTGGATAATGTTCCAGTCCTCATAAGTTCCTTCCACTAAACTGAACTGTCAACACCCTCCTCATGAGTTCCCTATTTACAGATTAAGAAGGGTAAATGTTACTGTTACACTAAGGTATATTTTTAACTCGGTTTTGGTTTGTTCCATAAATAATGTTGCTTTTGGTGACAATATTTATTGTAAATTACTTTTACTGATCATTGTACAAGTTTAACCTTCTTTGTTGTTATGGATTCTACCTTATTGTGTTACTAATACAGTACATGTAGCATGATCCATGACTGTCTTATGCTTCTTTGTATTTAGGTCTCATTGATTCCCATGTACACCTGTAGCTTGGCCCTTCAGTATTACAACTTGAAGGACATGAATCAGCATAGGCTCTTTTGGCCCAATCAAAGTGAAGCATTTGTTTTTAACGATTGAATAATTTGTTTACAATATTGTACAATATAATCTCACATTGGAGGTATAGATTTACCTTAAGTACAGTACAGTAGTGAATTTGGAGCTGAACATGGGGCAGCACATGACACCATCATGAGCTGCACCAGCGGCATGGCATAAATAAAGACTGGAGGTGTTTGGTGATTGTATGTCTTGTAAGTTGCTTGTCACAGAAAATACCTACAGTACTGTATGTTCATATCTGGTTTATATTTTCTTTTTTTACAGGACAATTAACACTGAAAAAATTTGACTTTGATCAGACATTTATTGCTGAAAATTATTTTATGAATGGAAATACAGTGACCCCTCCATTAACGAACTCAATCCGTTCCAGCAGGTTGTTCGTTAACCGAAAAGTTCGTTAACCGAAACCATTGTTTCAATGGGTTTTTGGGTAATTGGTTCCAGCTCACCGAAAATTTCCTAAATTCAACAAAAATGATAGAAAAGTTCACTTACTTTGAGGTGTGTATGTAGAAGGCTCCTGGATGATGATGATGATGATGGGATTTAGAATGGGGGTGGAGGAGAAGGAAGAAGAGAAGGCATTGGGGTGGAAGAGAAGTCACCCCATGGCACCATTTCACCCATAAAATTTTAGCTCTCTTGGTGTAATTCAAGATTATTTTCTTTAAATCAACACTGCACTGCATTATATATTGTCAATATGTAAAATATATTTCAAAATGACCAATAATTTGCTTGGAAACACAGAAAAAAAGCGTTTAGTTGAAGAGAGTCTCCAGCAAGATGTTACCTCCAGTGAAAACAGAGAGAGACTAACTCCTGTTTGCTGTGTTAAGAGGCTGGATGCCGCGCATTAAACTAGTCACTTTACCTTCAATTATGTTCAATAATTGTTAAAATTATTGAATAGTATAAACTTCTTGATATTTACTAAAATAGTAAGGAATTTAAGCCCTAGAACCAATTAATGTATTGGTGGACTGATACTAAAGCTGGTTGCCCGGTCAGTGCAAGCGAAAACATGTTGAGGTCGGTTCGTAAGAACTTCGTTAACCGAATTTTTTTTCGTTAACCGAATTGAAGGTCCTTATGGAAGGCAGTTCGTTAATCGAAATTATGTTAACCGAGGTGTTCGTTAAACGAGGGGTCACTGTACCAGTGTAGTCATGTTGACAGTCATATTAAGATGATTGAAAAGTTGTTTTTTGTAACTACAGATACTGTAAATATCTGTTATAGTTCAAGCTTATCCCTTGGCAAAACGTTTATAGACTTTAGTGGCATTGACTGACCAGTATCTTGTAATCCAGTTGTACACTGTACAGTATTTATTTACTGTATTTATTTTATTTATTTATTTTATGGGGATTGGCCTACCCAGGCATAGGTCACTGGCCCACATCAAGGCCTGGGGGAGGGGGGGGGATATAATAATAATAATAAAAACAACTTATAAAAAAGAAAAATAATGAAATAATACTATTCTGTACTAATAATAAAGAACTATAAATATATACAAAAATAGAAAACAAATCATGAGTGAAAAACGATATATGTATGTTGTGTTGTAAAAATAAGACAAACAATTGAGACCCTGCAATTGTTTGTAAATGAGGCAGAAAGTCAGATCAACAGCCTGGGATTTGGTCACAATTTTCGTGGTGCCATATGGCAGACGGGTCTACCATTAGACCACACATTATGCTTCCAATATCTTCCCAGGCGGTAGTACCTCCCTGTTTGATAGCTTTATTTACTAAAGTGAGGAATAATGACTATGTTGCCATTCATGTTCTTTTTGCTACTGATAGAGTGTAGTCTTTTATATATTTTGCAACATTAAATTTATTCTTTGCTGAATGTGAATTATATTTGTTATTATCTACTTAGAATAGTATTTCTTTCTCTTGTTCTGTTACAGTATGCTTCTCTCATGTAGTAGTGTCAGCTGTAATCTGCAGTTCTCTGTGTACTGTAAGTTTAATTAAGTCATAAGAGAGAAATTCTGAGACTTGTATTTATCCATCGACAGATTGCTGCTGAAATTGCTGCTCCACTGGCTAAGACAGACGAAATTGTGATGGTTGGTGGAGGTGACACCATGACTAATGCCATCACCAAGATGTGTGGTGAGCTTCCTCCTTCCATCCACGCCCTCACCGGTGTTGACATCTCCAAGGTATTGCCTTCGAAGAGGTGAACTTCGTAATTGGTTGCAAAATGTAATTTTTTATGTATCCTTACAAATGCAAACTTTTACAAATCATAGCTATACAGTGTAGTGGTGAAATTAATATGAATTAAAGTAAACATAGAAAGTCTTGTAAATAGATGTTTAGTAAAAAAATATTGTGTATGGACTATCCTGTGTGCACTCTTTGTCTTCTTCCCCTCTAGTAATCACTGTGGGCACATTTATAAAGAATTTTTAGGTAAGCCTATCCCAGTGAAGTACTCACCTGTATTTTGGCTACATTTTGTTAATTGTAGACCATATTTTAAAGTTTTCTAAGGCAATTAGAGATTTAGGAGATAGAAATATTATAATACAAAATCTTATCGCCTGGACACCTGTTCCAGGGTGTAAATGGTCAAGAGCCTTTTCCTACATGGCTGTGAACTATGGGACCTTCACATTAACCCTTTTGCTGCGTCTGTATTGTATATGATACAGTAACATTTTTTATGATCACTGTAGCTGTATCGTATATAATCATGTGGTTTAAAATTGGCGCTCGCTCCTGACGAGCAAAAATGCGACTGTATTATATGCAATTATTTTTCAACCAAGTTGAAATGTCCACACACAGGATATCTTGATTAATTAATGAGGTCACAGTGAAAGGGTTAAAGACTTAACAAACTGTGCTGTGAGTGTGTAAGATGCAGTCATGGTGTGTATCCTTGTGCTGACAATGATCTGGTTGTTGGTGTAATCACTCCTCCAGATGTAATAATTCTTAGTCATGTGTTTTGTTTCTTAAGCCGAAGAGTTATACGTACTTCAGTTAAGAGAATTTTTACTTTATTGTATTTAGTCAATTACTTGATCTTGCATAAGTACAGTACAGTCATGCGCCGGTTAACGTCCTAGATACGTTCTTGGAAACGTGACGTTAACCGAAATGGACGTTGTCCGATCATCACATAAACTTTGTATTTATACTTGCGTATAAATACGTATAAATTTATACTTACGTGTATGTGGAATACTATATACGTACATATACACTTTTACTCTTAAATCACTACTGTAATGTGATACAGGTGATTAATTTTTATCTCTTGTGCAAAATACATGACATTTATATTGAAATTATTCACTGTTTTACAAGGATTCCAGCACCTCTGGGCAAATGGGGGAGAGGGAGGGAGGGAGGGAGGGAGCGAGCGAGGGGGTGTGGGGGGAGGGGAGCGGGAGGTGAGGTAGCACATTTAACAGTTGGCACCAGCCCAAGGTCTAACGTGTGTTTATTTATCAGTTCTTAAGTGACTAAGCTTCTCTTATAAAAAGCCAGTGAAATGACCTGGGTGAATATAATTTACATTGCTGGGATTCTTGTAAGATAGTGATTAATTTGAATATAAACATGCTATAATTTGCACTAGACATAACAATTTTAGTACCGTAATCAAATTAGTACGTGTACACTCCAGCTTTGCACTAAGGTCATTTATTTCTTTTACGTTTCTTTTAGTATGGTGTGTGCATGTAAATGGATGAAAATAAATGAAGAAATTTATGTAAATCTACCCAAAAATACAGTTGAAAAACTTTATATAATAAAATGTACACTAATGTACTACAATTTTTATCTTTTGAGCAAAATATATGACGTTTATATTCAAATTAATCGCTGTCTTGTAAGGATTTCAACAATGCAAATTATATTCTTCTATAGTCTGAGATATTATATGAAAAATTTAAGGCCTCAAACCCCCCATGCGAGGGAGTGTGGGGGGAGGTGGGAGGTGAGGCGATATGATTTGACAGTTGGCGCTGAAGGCCTGCGTGTTTATTTATCATTACTTAAGAGTGACTAAGCTCTTCTCATAATTTGCCACCCAAACAACCTGGGTGAATATAACTTACATTGCTGGGATTCTTGTAAGATAGTGATTTATTTGAATACCTGTATAAACAATCTATATTTGCAATAGACATAACAATTTTAGTACCGTAATCATTTAGTAAATGTACAGTACAGGTTTGCACTTAGGTCCATTGTTAACCGAGGGACCACTGTATTGCAGTGTACTTGTACTGTACAGTATTGACTAAATTCACTAGATAACGTACACAACTAATGGTTGGTAAAAGTTGTCAAGTAAGTGAGTGTCAAGTCTGTCAGTGTGAGTGCTTGTGTCCCCCATCATAGGAGTCTGTTTTCTCTCGCTTCAGGACGCCTGAGTCCTCCGTTTTCTCTCTTAATCTTAGAGTGCACCAGAGACTTCGTTATTCCTTAGTAATGACACAGAATTTGAAATTGCAACCCCAATTGCAATTGGGGTTGCAATTGTTGAGGCAACTAGATATGTCTAATTACAGCAAATGTGTTATTGTCTATTTGTAGGTGAAAGATTTTATCCTCAATAGATGTAGGTTAATATTACACTTGGAGGCAAATGCTTACTAAAGCCTAAGGAAGGATATTCCTTTAACACATAATATCTGGCCAGTATGGGGAGGATCATCGTGTCTCCGTCAGGGGGTCGTGGAGTGGTGGTCCAGCAGGCGTCACGGAAGTTTTTTTTTGGGGGGGGGCACTGACATATATGGGATCGGACGTTGTTCGGTTGGACGTTAACCGGCGCATGACTGTATTTACAATTACATCATACTAAATGAGTATTACACATCATTTCATTTCTTGTAAGAGACATCTGGAACTTCCATGAAAAAAAAATTAGGAAATTTTTATCAACTGATGAGGTGGTTTGGAGAGTTGGTCTCATTAAAGAAGTGACAACCCTTAGAGATGGCATACGAGTGTGCTGTTTTGATCTGTTTGTACAAGAGGATGTTACCTAATACTTCTACTCTGCATGAATATCTCTGTGACATTTTGTCTTTCTAATTCCATATGACAGTTTTGATAATCAGAATCTTCATTATTTTTATTGATTGCTTGGCTTAAGTCTATGCTTAACTTTTTTGTGTGCACTACTGGACTTGGTAAACTCGCACCTTATCTTGTCTCGTTGTATGTCTTGATCATATGTGATTTGTTGAGGTATGAAATAAGACAACTTACTGTAAGGTGAAGGACTACATGTCTTGTGTCAGGAATTGCAGAAGCTTAAATTATTGGTTTAAGAATATAAAGTTGAGGTTCAAGAGTGCCATTAGCCTTGTTGATTTTTTTATGATGTGGGAAGTTCACCTCAATGTTCTAATGAAGGAATTGACATTGAAGGATTGGAAGAGAGTGAAAGTTGGAAATGTTGCTTTAAATTACTGATGGCATCCTTACTGAATTTCGGTAAAAAATCAAAGTTTTTTGTATGACTAAAAACAGGAATGTACGTAGAATTTGAATAGATGAGAAGATGATATAGAGTTTGGTGGCCTACAGAGCAAATTGACAACATGGGAGTGATTTTTGTCTATGCTGTACAATGGCAAAGTGAACTGCTTGTCAGTACTGTATATGAAGCTTGCTTATATATGTTTTATTGGAACACTTCTAATTTAGTGGGTGGTACTATATTGAAATGGATGTTTTTTGTTTATTTATTCAGAAGGCAGTGAGGAAGTAAAGAGTTTATTACCCTAATGAGGAATGACTTCTTTTTTTAAGAGGGAAGACAAATCTTGAAGATGATGTGAAGGGGAGGAAATAATGGAATGTGAAGAACAATCAAGAAAATATCTTACTTTAGTACATTTTTTCCCAGCTGAGAAGAGATGCCCCACCCCCTCCTCAAGAGTTACAGCTGATTGGCTGTTGCAAATCTATCCGCTTTCGTCCGGAAGTAATGATGTACATGTATTGTATTTCTAAATGAGTTTATTCATAATCGTTTCTGATGAGAAAGATATTTAGCTGAATTGTATAAAGATACATAGTCATTATTTCATACATGAGCACGTTGGAAATTTATCAGAAATCTTATTCATGAATTAACTGTTAAACTCTTGCAGCAAATTCACACTTTCGGAGGACGCATTTAATATAGTGTATACTTATTTTTACCAACAATAAGGCATACTAAGACAAATTGCATATCAGTAATTCTTTGTTATGCAAAAACTAACATTTTAAAAGATCATAATCACATTGAAATATTACACGGCTCCTGAAAGTTGGTGGATGAGTGTGACAGACTGGGGAGCTTGGTCGCTCGAGCTGTCAGCAGAGGTGGGAAATATGAAGTTGTTCAGTCATATTTCCCGCTTCTGCTGAAGGCTGTTTAATATTTCAATGTGACTGATCTTTCCAACTGTTAGTTTTTGCATAATGTAGTATTACTGTTATGTAATATGTCTTAGTATGCCTTATTGTGGGTAAAAATAGTAATATCTCCGTTAGCTGGAATCCCTCAGACCCAGAACTCTCCAATAGCTGGAATTTAAATTTTCTTGGAAAATCGAAAATTCCGGCTTTGGGAATGATTTTCAGAGGGGCACATTTTCCGGAAAAAAAAAATCCCGGTACCCAGAAAATTCCAGGGATGAGGGTTTTTTCCAGGTTCGAGAGATGATGTAAAGGACAATTTTTTTAACTTCCGAGAAAATTTTTTTGTTTACCGGAAAATTCCGGGATGAGGTATTTTTTACCGGCTTTGAGAGAGTCGTCCCGTTACCGTCCCGTTACCCGGAAATCTCTCATTCCCGGAAGTGCTCTGCACCAATTGTTCCGGATAACGGAGATATCACTTATTTTAAATGCATCCTCCGGAAGTGTGAATTTGCTGCTAGAGTTTAACAGCTAATTCATGTACAGTAATACCCCAATTTACGCGGTCAATTGAACCTGCGGAGTACCGCGTAAAACGAGAAACGTGTAAATGGAATTACAGAACATATGGGATTAATTGAAATAGAGACTGGGTCGACTCCCAAACTCCACTTTTTCAGACACATTACCTACGTTGTAGTAAAAATAACATCATAATTTTATGATGGTATGCACACACAATTAATAATTAAGAGAAATAGTAATAATATTAGGTTTTTTAGCACTTACATTAGTAGAAAAGATGGCTGGGCACACGGGGATAGGGGGTTGGTTCCGAGGCAGAGGGCAGATTATTGGCCCTCACCCGTATCACTTGTATCACCTTCCACCACAGAGGCTTGCAGGGCCTCTTTGTCAAACCCCTCAAAGTCCATATAAGTCCATATCCTCACTATCACTGACTTGGGCCGGCTGTGGTGGGTGGCGGGTGAAGAACTCGGTAATGTTTTGATGAATGGGCGACCTTGTGCGCACCTGCCCGCGCTGCTTCCCGCGTATATGAATAGATGCACCACGTAAATTGGGCATTCCGATTCTGGCGGGGTATCGCGTAAATGTGGAAACGCGTAAACAAGAACCACGTAAACCGGGGTATTACTGTATAAGATTTCTGAAAAACTTCTTATGTGCTCATGTTTGAAATAATGACTATGTATCTTTATATAATTTAGCTAAATATTTTTCTCATCAGAAACGGTCATCCCAATGATTATGAATAAACTCACTCAGCCATACACGTACATCATTACTTCAGGACGAAATTGGACAGATTTGCAACAGCCAATCAGCTGCAACTCCTGAGGAGGGGGCGGGGCATCTCTTCTCAGCTGGGAAAAAAAGCACTATAGTTATGGCATTTGTTTAAGCTGTTGAGGGACACCATACAATGTCTAATTACACTGGACTGTAGGGAGGAGACAGTGGTTGTCGGTGTTGGAGGAAACACAGTGGTTGTCAGTGTTGGAGGAGACAGTGATTGTAGATACCGGTATTAGATGAGATAATGGTTGTTGGTTGTTGATAATGGTAGGCAGAAGGTGGTTGTAGGTGCTGGAGAGAGAGAGAGTGAGTTGGAGAGAGAGAGAGTTGGAGAGAGAGAGAGAGTTGGAGAGAGAGAGAGAGAGAGAGAGAGAGAGAGAGATTTTTTTTTTTTACTGTTATGTTTAAAAGAGTAAATAAGTTACTTGTTATATGTACCATACACAGTTTTTGTGTTTTGTTGTAGTATACTGTACTTCAGACATTTAGAAAAACCCTGCATTTTCACAGGTAATAAAAATTATGCTTTTGTACTACAACCTAACTGCTTTCCAATACATATTTATTGTATAACATTAACAGTTAAGTTTCACTATATGGTTGATTATGTTTTTGAGGGGATTTATACATGTACAAGCTGCAATGAAAAGTGTACAGTATATAGTTACAGTATACAGTACTGTATAATGTTATTTTATAACACTGAATAAATTTAACATTGGTGAATTTTTGTTCCTAGGTGCTAGCATCAGTTCCAGGAGCTATGGTCACACCATCAACTGCCCCACCACGAGTTGCACCCACTGCCGTGTAACAACCTCACCTGACACATAAACTCAGTGATAGCAATGAGAAGATGAGAGGCAAGGTGTTAGCAGAGACTTTTATGGAGATAATATTTTATTCTCATATTTTAATGTTTATTCAAAATACTGTATGTCATAATGGTGATCAGATGCTGTTCCCCAAAACACACACAAAATTTAACAAATTTGTGTTAATAGTAAAAAATACTTGTGCATTATTAAATAGGCCACTTGATTGCAGGCATGTCAAGATATGTCTCTTACTACAGTAAGTCCTCGTTTAACGTCGTGGTTCCGTTCTTGAAAACCACGACGTTAACGGAAACAACGTTAACGGAATAAATTTTCCCCATAAGATATTGATAAAATATGGGAGTTATGTTCCCCAGCCTCCCTTTGCCCCATAAAATGCATTACATATACAGAAATTCAATGGTATATATATATATATATATATATATATATATATATATATATATATATATATATATATATATATATATATATATATATATATATATATATATATATATATATATATATATATATATATAAACAAACAATCATTTTGTATTGTACTCACTGATGGATGGAGGTGTTTGGTGGGTAGTGGAGCGGAGGAGGAGGGTGGGAGAGGAGGAGGAGGAGGGAGGCAAGTCACTGAGACCCGGCAGGTGGCTCCTTCTCACCTTTCTCAAAACTGTTTAAAACCTCCATTTTCGTAGCAAGGCTAATGGTCTTACATTGCTTCTTCACAACACTAGCATCCCAACGGGATGAAGAAACTGCACTATTTGAGACTGAATGTGAGAAGGACCTAGGTGTGTATGTTGACAATGAGCTGAAGTTCTCGGGCCATTGTGAGAAGAAGGTAAATCAGGCAAATAAATTATTGGGTCTTATAAGAAGGTCGTTCAGATATCTAGACGGTCCGTTCCTTGTAACGATCTTCAAGAGTGAAGTGCTACCCCATCTGGAGTACTGTCACCCCGTCTGGTCCCCGGAGTTATGCTAGGGACTGTCAGTTGGTTGAAAATGTTCAAAGGAGGGCCACCAGACTGGTGCCTGCACTTCGGCACTTCAGCTACCCTGAGAGATTGGAGCGCCTGAACTTGCCTAGCTTATACTACAGATGGGCAAGGGGTGACCTAATTGAGATATATAAGCATCTCAGGGGGCACTACTCAGTCGAGTGTCCTTACTTGGAGCTGGCGGACGCTCGCCCCACAAGGGGTCACACCTCAAGATTGAAGAAGCCACAAGTCCAGAAAACTGTGAGGGCAACTTTTTTGGAGTGAGGGTTGTGAACTCTTGGAACAATCTACCAGAAAGTATTGTGATAGCACTGAGTGTGAGCTATTTCAAAACAGGACTTGACCAACACTGGAGCGGGTTCAGGTACGTTCAGGAGTCGGTGCATGCCCAGTACTTGCCAACAGTGAGGAGGATAAAAGAAAAGGAAAAGTAATCAGAGACGTGACCGATCGCCCAAGCGGCTAACAAACTGATCACTGGTGAAGAGGATGAAAATAAAGTAAATTGATGGGTGCTTGGAAGCCTTTTCGAATGGTTAGAGTACAGTTTTAAGAGCAAAAACACTTAAACACTCACGAACGCTGTGGTAGCCTAACAAAGACTGGGAATGCTTGGGGACGCCATGCCGCTCCACGGGTGAGAGCGTAGCGCATCAAGATGAGTTGTGCCGTGCAAAGTAGTCCATGACGACATTGTACTGATTCGGCGGGACGTTATCTGAATCATGGGTATCTAAAGAAAAGCGACATTATAACGAAACAACGTTATCGGGAACAACGTTAAGCGAGGACTTAATGTATTAATGTGGGCTGCTCATTAGTAAAAGTCAGATGATTTTCTCTCAGTATTTTTATAAGAGCTCTTTAGGTATGTAATCCCCTTTAAGGAAAATAAACATTTCAAGGAAGTTCAACTTTTATAATTTGTGTACACCTCATTATACAGGTGCAGTGATCCCTCGATTAACGAACGCCTCGGTTAACGAAATTTCGGTTAACGAATTACCTTCCATAAGAATCTTCAATTCGGTTAACGAACAGAAATTTGGTTAACGAAATTCTTATGAAATCATGTCAACATGTTTTCGCTTGCTCACCAGCTGGAATATTAGTCCGCCAATACAGTAATCAGTTCTAGGGCTTAAATTCGTTCCCATTTGAGTAAATATCAAGAAGGTTGTACTATTCAATAATTTTCAAAGATTTATATTAAATTTTTTAGTCATTTGAACACTTATTTAACATAATTTGAGTACAAGAAACTAGTTTTTGGTGCGCCAATCAGCCACTTGACTCACCCACCAAGGCATCAGTTTGTATCTCTGGCCACATTTTGCTTGTGGCTCTCTTGAACATAAACTATTTTTACGTTTATACAGTACAATTATTGGTCATTCTGAAAATTATCTTACATATTGACAATATATAGTGCAGTGCAGTGTTGATTTAAAGAAAATAAACTTGAATTACACCTAGTGAACTTAAAATTTTATGGGTGAAATGACGGCGTGAAGCATGGGGTGATTTCTCTTCCACCCCCACTTCCTTCTCTTCTCCCTTCTCCTCCACCCCCACTTCTAATTCCCATCATCATCATCATCAACCAGGAGCCTTTTACATACACACCTCAAAATAAGTGTACTTTACTGTACTTTACTGTATGTAATTTTCGGTGAGCTGGAACCAATTACCCAAAATCCCATTGAAACAATGGTTTCGGTTAACGAAATTTTCGGTTAACGAACGACCTTCTGGAACGAATTGTGTTCGTTAACCGAGGGACCACTGTATATTATTATCCATTAGCTTAGATAATTTTTAGAAGTTTATTTGGGTTTTATACACAATAATAGTTCACTTCTGAAAGTTATTGAGCTCTCTGGCCTAGGATGGACTTTTTTGTAGCTGTTCAATTTACAATTTTAAAGTTTTGAATTTTATCTAGAAACATTGAGAGATGAAGCATTTTATAGCTTACATCATTTTCAAGGTCATTTTATATAATGTCTTAAAAATTGAGCAATATATTTACTTTATACCTCATTTCTTGCAGAAGATTTATAAATTTAAGACTATTTCATAAATATTTTTTGTCTTAGCTTAGAAAACTTGTCATGTGCTTTACAGATGTTATGAACAATTTAGACCTCTCTCTTTCTCTCTCTTTTATTTTTCATAATGCCTCTTTGATGGTGACACCTTATTTTGGTTTTCTCTAATGGGAATTGCAATTTTTAGGTGCCAATATTTTTGTTTTCCATATCTATGGTGATTTTACATAAGGGATCATTGTATGCATCCTTCAATAAGGGTTACAAGCTCAATGTTTAGGTATTTTTTAGTAGTTCAAATACTAAGTTTTCCTGTCATTCTTGAGATGAGATAAAGATCGGAAATTTGAATTTTTGTTGCCGACAGAATTTATCTAAATTCCTGAAGAGGCATTAATTACCACCTGCACTGAGTGTTAACTTTTTCCTGGGACTTAGAGACTTTATCAGTGTACTGTACATAGCAATTTTACCTTTCTCATTCTAATGCCTTTGTACTTCAGGCAAAGTATCATATTTAATGGTAAAAATTTTGGAATTTGTTTCTATGAACTCAAAAACTGTTCTCATTAAACTGATTTGTGATATAAAAAAATGTCTTCTAAACTCAGAAGAAAATTTTAGGGTACTTCAGCTATATAGTATAAATAGCTAGAGGTAAATTTAGCTCAATGCAGTTACTATTATCAGTTAACCTAATTTTGTAGCTCATTAGAGGTACAGGTACTCTATAGATAAATTTACTCTTAAAATATTGTTCTCTAATTCTTATTGTAATCATCAAGTAAAATAAGAGAGAATAATACAATCATGTAGGGTGTATTGAAGAAGGAACTTCGAAGAAGTGGCTTCTCCATCATGTGATGGTCTTCATCATTATTAAATTAAGTTTATAGAACTAGCAAGTGATTGATCATTCTGACTGCTTCACTTCCTTATGGGGATTTGGATACAAAGATAAGATCCCATCTCTTTCCTTATTGTTGTAAGAAGTGACTGAAAGTTATAGAAAGGGGTTAGAGATCCTCTTGCTACTAGACACAATTCCTCATGATGGTGCTTCATCTATGTAAAAATCCAGTGAATCACAGCCAGTACAGTACCATTTCAGTTATATTTTGAAAAGTATCTTGGGTAGTCCCTGGTGAGTGTTTCTTTACTCGCAGAAGATTGCTCTCGTCAGTACAGGACTTCATTAAAGAAAGACACACTGTACCTTTGTACTTGAACTGTATTATGAAAAAGCAGTTTGTTCAATCACTAGCTAGTGTGATAATATTAGCAGATGATTGATCACTTGATTACTTACTTCAGTAAAAACAAAAAAATAGCAAACCAGCCTTTTTCAATAAATTGTACATTCCAAGAAGCAGTTGATTAATCACTGACAAGTACTTGCTATAATGGTGCAAGTACATCATCCTCATGGTGCTGCACCACCTGATTCAATCTGTCACCCACCACTCATGTACTACACATTTGTTTAGCCAAGATGATACTTGGCTCTCACTGCCAACTGTAGTGTGCTTTTTATATACTTGTACACAGTGTATAATGGCTAGAATATTAATATATTACTGTATTACTAGATTTTTGTTATTGCCTTGCATATGTCAGTTTTATGTTTAGGATGATGGTGGGGTACATCATGGACAGGTTCATAAAATACATCTTGCCAAAAGTTGACAGAACTCTGTGTAGATGGAAGTCGTACCCATAAAATGAATTTCCTACAATGAAAAATGGAGAGATTTATCATAATTAACCTTGATGTTATACTTTTCCAGTTTCTGTGCATTCTTTATTCTTGGGGTTCAGCTTTTAATTGTTCATAGATTTAGTAGTATTTATAGTAAAATATATTTGTATAATTCAGTGGCAGTATTGCATATTTATGTATCATTTGGTGACAATATTTCAGTCAGTACAGAGGATACAAGTACTGTACAGGGTACTTGGACTCTATAATATTAATAAATATACCATGGATGGGATTTAAATTATCTAATTATATACTGTAAATAATGTACAGTGCCTATTCTGGTTTGGGACTACAGTAATATAAAAACTATTTGGAATTGCTTCAGGATACAGTAGTAAAAATTTGTCAAAAATTAGCCTTTTTTTTTTCCAGTCACTTAACAATTTTGGTACTAGTACTGTATATATCTTGTGAGTAACTTAAGTGGTTTGGATTTTTTTTTTTGTACAGGATCAGCTAATGGTACACAAATATTCACTTAAGCCCTTAAATAAACTAGCATTGAAGCTCTCATATCATACTTTGGAAATAATTCCAATGTTGGCCTGCCAAGTGGCTTCAGGTTATTGTTACCCAGACAATATACTTGAAGTAGAAGTAGTTTCAGTTTTTTCTCATTATATACTGTAACAGTTTGTATGCACAAGATTTGTGCATATCTTTTGTTTGTACAAGACTGATGATTACACAATCCATAGGATACAATATTTTATTTACTTTGTTCAGGTTATACAGAGCAAAAGTTTTTTCTTTAACTATTTACTTGCATAACAGTTATACAGTGCACCAGAATACATTATAATGTTTACCCTAAATAGATAAATGCATTATTTTACCATTTTGAAACACAGCTAAACTTGGTATTTTATATTTATTTATCTTTTGTAAGTGTGTAGTTCAAGGTAGTAGACTGCTTTTTATCATGTTGGTTCACAATAGAAGATTGGTTGGCTTAAACCTCTCCCTCCCCCCCCTAAAAAAGAAGAAGAAAAGTATTAGTGTATTATGGGAGAAGTAAAGGCTTTGTCTTTTTCTCCTGCTAATTGTTGTTTCCTGTAGCTACATTCATACTGTAGGCTATTTAGTGGCTTCCCACTCTACACATTATCAAACTTTACTCTATTATTTTTTAGATAAACTTTTCCTGTTTTTTCACTTTTTATTTGTGCCTCCTTCCTTGTAACTTTATTTCCATGCTTTCCACTTATGTATATGTACAGTACTTGAAATTATGACCCCTAATCTATTTACTGTATATTCACATTTCCTATTACAGACAGGTAGTGACTGCCTCACTTATGGAGATGGTTAATAACTCAAATATTTGTTCAAGTTTGTTAATTAATTACTTTCCTTTGAGCCTTTTATCAAGCTGTCTATGGTTTGATAGGCAAGTGAAATTAAAATTTTCCATAATGCATAGTCACTGTGACCATGAGTTTTATCCATACAGAGGCTTAAATAAATCTTAGATATAACAGGTAAGATAATTTTTTTTCTTCAGGATCACTGTGCTATGTGATCAAATTGGCAAGGGGTTTATCTTCCTACTTACAGGGTAAACATAGGTTCAAGTTTTAGTACAAAGTTTATATTAGTGAAAAAAATGTCATAAAATAAGAACATTGATAAAAGAGCTTGGTTAATGACAATTTGTCACAAATATATTACTGTATATATTTTTATTTATGTTTACAGTGTTTTTTCTTTTTATTATTATTATTATTATTATTGCCAGGACGACGAGCACTACAGGTATTTTGGCCCATCATTGAAGAAATCCATTAATGAGTACATCCACAGGCAAACTCTTTCTTTGTGAAATAGTGGAAGAAGAAGACAAAAATTTACTTCTCAAGTTAGTAGAGGAGGACAAGCTTTTACAAAGAATGGAATATATTTATGGACAGATCCCACCAGTGCCTGTGCAAGTTCCAGTGTGTGGCATTATATTCACTATTATACAGTAGCTGTTTCCAAAGTACAATGAAACCTCTATTTAACGGAAGATATGGAGAGGAAAGTCCGTTATATTGAGAGTTCATTAAATGTGAAACCTTCATCTAACAAACTATATAGAGATGAAAATATGTTCTATCAAGGGTCCATTAGATATGAAATTTCCCATCTAACAGATTACTTGGAGCGAAAAGTCCTTTATATGGAGGTTTCATTGTATGAGTACTTGCCAGTATTCCTGTAATGTGTAGTGCTTCAATATAATAATGTTATTACATGACAGTCTATTTATGGTTCATATGTACACCAGTCTTTTGAAATGGTGCCATGTACCTTGTATTTGTATAATGATGCTTAAATAAGACACACACTTACATTTGCTGTCTTCCTCTTATGGTGGACAAGTGAATAAAGATAACTAACTTACCTTCAACTGAGACTCCTATATCTAACATTCAGATATTCACATCAGCTCAAAAGTCATGTCATACAGCAGTATTTATTTATTCTATTTTATCTTTAGCCTCTAAATTTTGTAGTGTATAAATGACACTTTTATGCCAAATGTTTCCTCATCTTTAAAATCCTATTTCTGTAATGTATTTTCAGAATTTTATTTCTTTTAGGGTGGAAGGAGAGTCAGTACTTCTTTATATGAATATCTACACTTTTCACAAACTCATCGTTGGTGCCTTCCCACATAAAGGGATTCAAAAAATTCTTTAATGCAGAAAATGCTACTTTTTAACTTTATAAAATAGCTTAAAAATAACTAGATGCCAGTCAGCTAGTTCTGTAACTGAGAGAATGTGCAACTACCTCTGCCAGGACTGTGGTTGCATGTTAACACTAATCCTGGTTATGTGTACTGGAACAATAGCCCATATTCTAAAGCAGCACATAGGTGCATTAAAAATGTAATATATTTTATATGTACTATTCCCGTATGCCCACAATTGGTGGAACATGTGCACTTAAAGATTAAACACATCACAAAATGTAAAGGGGATCTAGATTTGCCTTAAACATAGATGACAATAAATTAAATTTGTTAGAAGACATTGGCATACTCTGTAAAAGAACACCAGTGTAACTTATCAGTAAAATGAGGGCTTAATACAGTCAATACAGTCAACAATATTTTGTGTAACTTCGAGTGTTTAAAAAATTATTAATATACATATAGCCTGCAATGTGTAAACATGAATGATGCTCTCACATAAATGCTTATTGATTTTCAGTCCTTCAGCACCACATATACTGTATTAGGCAATGCTTACATAACAGAAAACAAAAATTCTTGCAAAGGTAATTTGTTTGTGAATGCTTCCCTGGTCATGAGTGTTGTTTGGAATCTGGGCCAAAATATTGTATGTACTGTACTGTAGTTACTGTTTGTATGCAATTATAGGAGGAAAATACTCTTGACTGCTGCACAGAACACATGTGAAGAGATTGATAATTTTGATACTTCTCATTTATGACTGAGGTTTATTGCTTGTAAACAATGAAGATGTAGGTTTATATTGTGTTTAGTAGGATGATATATGATACCGTATTGTATATTAATTGCATGAACTCTTAGCTTAAAGATATTATAATAGATGAAAAATTTCTTTATTTGTTTTTCAAAAGAACTTAATCATGTATCCTCTCACATGTCATTATTATCAGTGTAAATGTTCATGGTATTAAACAGGATCATGACCAAGAAGTTTTACTCCTCGTCACTGCCGATGAAAGAAGATAAAAAATTTTGCACCGACTTTGGGGGAAGTAGCAGCTCAATGTAAATTATGTGCTCATTCATATGATGTGACACTTTACACAAAGAAAGCACCTAGGAGGGTAAGTACAGTACATTAGTATAGTTAAAATAGGAAATAATACTGTAGTTTTCTTTATTCATGTAAAACATTTATCCATACATAAGTATTGTATAACAGATTACTCCAAGACTTGTTCTTGTGATCAGCTTTATACATTACAGTGCACATGAGTGAGCAGTAATGGGGCATATACTGTGGTTCAGGAGAGAAGTTATTCATTCCAAATTATTTAACCATCAGATCAATCAAATTTTAAGCTACTGTATACTAAAGGTAGTTCATGATTACATATTGTACTCAGGATAGTTTCTAAGGCATGGTATCTCAGTTCACTTTCTTCAAATAAATCCTTTTTGTCCTTCTAATTTATTTTTTCCCTATTCATTCTTCTCTGTTATTTTTCTCAGTTTATGTTTCCAATTTATTCTTTATTCAAGTGTATCCTCTTGATTGTTATTCTCATAATTCATTCATCTTGTTTATGTTCACAAATAAGCCCTCTTATATTATATTGTTACTGCACCAGATTCTTGTATCCTTTCTAGGTCTCCATTACTTATATCACCAAGTCTTACAACTCCACATCAACGGGTTAAGAAAACAAAAATGCTGATTACTCATTTGCTTCCGACACAAGTTCTTGGGCCACTATGAGAAGAAGGTGAATCGAGCAACTAAATATTAGGTTTTATAAAAGGTCGTTCAGATATCTAGACAATCCATCCCTCGTAACGATATTCTAGAGTGAGGTACTTTCCCGTCTGGAGTACTGTCACCCCTTCTGGTCCCCAAGATATGCTAAAGACTGTCAGTTGATTGAAAATATCTAAAGGAGGGCCACCAAACTGTTGCCTGCACTTCGTCACCTCGGCTACCCTGAGAGATTAGAGTGCTTGCAACTGCCTAGCTTATACAACAGACAGGCAAGGGGGAACCTAATTGAGGTGTATAAACATCTCAAAGGGCACTACTCAATCGAGTGTCCATACCTGGAGCTGGCGGATGCACACCCCACGAAGGGTCACAGCTCAAAGTTGAAGTCACAAGTCCAGAAAACTGTGAGGATGAACTTTTTCAGAGTGAGAGTTGTGAACTCTTGGAACAACCTGCCAGAGAGTGTTGTGATGGCACTGAGTGTGAGCGGTTTCAAGACTAGACTTGACCAACACTGGAGCAGGTTCAGATACATTCAGGAGCCGGTACATGCCCAGTATTTGCCAACAGTGCATAACAAAGACGTGGTCGACTACCCAAGCGGCTAACGGGCCAATCAGTGGCAAAGAGGATAAAAGTAAAAAGTAAGTAAGTTTTGTCATAGTTTGAGTTAGTACAAAGGTTAGTAGGGCCAGTAAACATATTTGTTTACATTCAGTAATGTGGGAACTTTAATACGAGACAGGTGTATAGGTGTTGCGAGCCTGTGATGGGGTGAGCTGTGGGTTCCATGGAGAGACGTTTGATATTGGGGAAAATGCCAGGCTCAAGAACTACTGTTGTGGGAGAGGAGCCCACCTGATTTATTACGATATGCCTGTGGCCACTGTGCAGTCTCCCTAAGCATCTCTGGATTCCTCAAGCTCATAATACCCTGTGTGTGGAAGAAGTGTTGGGTGCTACTCTTAACGTGCTGTCAGTACTGTATTGGCCTAAGTATTAAGGAAGCATGTAGTAAAACTTCAATAAATCATACTTCAATATGTCGGAATTAACTTTTTTTGGACTGGGGTGCTCTGGTCACCAGAAATGCTAAAAAAAATGCAGATCTGCAGCATGACCTTTCTCAGTCCAACATATCGTACTGCACAGGTCCCATCATTATCAAAAAATTCAAATTTCCACAACTCTTCCATATATTATTGTAAATCTATCTTCTGTATTACTGTATACTTCAAATTCATAAAACAATGAAATTAAATCTTGTAACAAACTTTTGAAATAGTTTGGTTAAGATTTAGTAGTACGCAGGCAGTGGCAGCAGGATGCAGGGCTGCGTCCGAAACCATGGTAGCTGCCACAAGCCATCATGGCGGCTCCTGGCAGTGAACCAACAAAGCCACTTGAGCGGCTTCTGGCAGTCACTAGATGAATTTTCATACCTAGAATGTTCGTATCTCAAGGGATACCTGTCCAGGATTACCTCTTCTGAATCAAATCCTCTGATGTTAGCCAAATGAATATTAAAAGCGGCATCCTGTAGTGAAGGGTTAGGTAGAAGAATGCCAGGGAAAATGTAGTATACTTGTACAGTATTGGTAAACCTCAAGATACGATATCCTGTGATGCCATATTCCGCTTTAATGATGGTTATAAATTAAGACCATCACACTGTATACGATCAAAACAACTCGCTTTAACAATATCCATCGAATTGCCATCAAAATCCATTGGTTGGAATTTTTATTTTTGTTCAATCCAGAATGCAACGTCTAGCTTTATACCTACTGTAGGTATGTTAATGCCTAGCAATAACTCACCAGATCAACATACAGGCAACTAAAATATCTAATAATTACTTAATACGTAATATTAGGAGGACACGTCACTGCCTAGCATTTAATTGCAATTCTCAAAACCCCCTCCCGCACCCTCCATCACTCGCATTGCTACCATCATCTTTTTGCCTGGCGAATCAGCTGTAAATACGCACAAAGAAGGCTACGCTAATTTGTGTTGTAATAGTTAAAATACTAAGTGCTATGAGGACCTACATACTGTACAAGGAATTGTCCGTCGGTAGAGGATGTGAATTCAGTAGTAGTAGTTTCACCCAGGACCCAAGGGGCCCATACTACCGGGTACATGTAATTATCAAGGATGTAGAGCCACTTGGATTACCAAGTTAGATCCTCATTTGGCTTGCATAATTCATAGCAGCTGTGTCTCAGACAACCTGTTTTCACCATTGGATTGTGCAGTCTGTTACGATCAAATTTTTAAAATTAATCAAGCTGCAGGAGATAAGAAAGAATTATTGCAGATCCAAATTAAAAATAGATGGAACAAAGCCTTGAGTAAATTTCTAAATGTAAAACACTGGAAAGATCCCAAGTGGGCAGAAAGTTTAGAATTATGGGTCATAGGTAAGAGACTTAATCCCCAATTAGACCAACCTGCTTCTGCTAACAAGTAGGTTATTGGATATTCTAGATAATGAGGCAGTAGGAAGATTACAAGAACCTCTACCTAGTCAGTCTGATTTTAGTGGATTCCAGGATCAGGATGAGGAAGTTAGCTCTAATCATAGTGTTCAGTCTCTAGAGCAGGGAGAACCTGTTGAGAATGACTTCATCCTGTCCCCATTTTGCCAACCACTTCCACCTGGGGCAAAAGTCTTGGTTACTATGAGTGGAAACAGGCTGCTGTCAACTGCCAATCAGCTGATGGATAACACTGAGTGTAAGGATGATCCAAACAGGCCTTGGGTAACATTGGTAAGATCTAAGTCTTCTTTGTTTTCTACCACATCTGAGTCTGTGGATTCCTTATTCAAGGTATTTTATGAAAATGTTTCTAAACTTCCTGATCTCTCAGCACTTACAAAGAGACAGGAAGGCCAAGCAACTGTGGGTCATCATTCATTGTTTCTAGAAGGTGATACTACACTTTCTTTGCCTGATATTTGCCCCAAAATGATCTCTGAATTAGCACTACAAAGTCTGGGCTAATATATTGAAAGAACTTTCCCCGTGTTTGTCGTCTCCAAAATATGCTGATATAAGTTATGAAATAAATTTGAAACCAGTTGCTTCTGCACTGTTGCTTGAAGAATTCAAATTTAGGAAGTTGGCAGTGAATATTTGGTCTGCAATTATGATGTGTCAGTTATTGACTAAGTTTGTGCTGGACTATGAGGATAGTTCAGAAGAAGACACATGTTTTGCTGCTGCTATACAAGGGATTCCATATTCCCTGTACAACTCATTTTTGGAAATGTTGTTGAAAGCCCTAAAACTAAAATCCCAGCTAAGGAAGCAAGCCACTAATAATGCTTCAAGTGGGAGTGCTTATTTATTGCTACGTTCTTCACCTCTTTCTCCTGCTTTGTTTGATGAACAAACATTAGTTAAGCATAGATCAGCTGTTGAGCAAGTTATTAATATTACTGTTCCCAGGAGTCCTCAGACCTTTCGGAAATTTAAGAGGAAGGTCTAACAGGGGAACAGGACCAGCTGCTAGGTTCAGTTATCAACCTAGAGGAAATTTTAGAGGAGGAAACAATTCAAGACGTAGCAAAGGTGGCCGTTTGTTCAGAAGTAGAAGGAGACCTTATTCCACATCAGCGGTCACTCCCTCCCAATGAAGCCAGAGAGCTAGGTCGTCTAGAGTATACTGCCTGACTGGGGTCACTAATTCTAAGGGGAAATACTTAACTCTAATCTTAATTTCTAAGGGTCGCTGCCACCAGACCCCCTCTGGACAGTATGTAACTCGTTAGGTAGCGGGCAGAGTGGACTAGGCATTGGGTTAGGTTTTTCATTGACCAGATCGATAAGGGGAAAGAAGGGTGAAACCACAACATGTCTTAGTTCTTTCAATTATTCATTCTACTGTACTTACTTCAGTTCATTTTGGTAGCATGTCGGTGGTCTAGGCACATGGGTAGTGTAATTCTGATATCAGGGTCACTTGGACGGAAATAAAGGTAACTACTGTGGGAGAAATGAATACTCCTATAATACTCAAAGAACAAGTTTATTAATATAAAATCAAAGTCCCAGGCTCAACTCCTGGGCTTATTGCAGACTCCGTATTTCTTATTTACTTATTTTCTTATTTACTCAATAGCAATTACTCAGATATTACACTCTTACTGTGCACACTCTTACTAGTGTCACATTACATTACATAGCAGGACCAGTTCCTTGTCCTTACTCACAA